GTGTGTGTGTGTGTGTGTGTGTGTGTGTGTGTGTGTGTGTGTGTGTGTGTGTGTGTGTGTGTGTGTGTGTGTGTGTGTGTGTGTGTGTGTGTGTGTGTAACGATCAATCAAGGGCAAATGTTCTGGTATCGATATCTTATCACTCAATATAAACACTAACACCGATATCCTATAACTCAATATAGACACTAACACCGATATCCCATCACTCAATATAAACACTCACACGGGTTGTACCTTAGGATAGTATGGCGCGTATACAATCGGCCCGGTTGCCGCATCCTTGAAGATTTTGTCTTTCTTTTCTCCCACTTCTACGCCGTCATCATCACTGTCCCAGCCGCTGTCGTCGGAGTCACCTCCCTTTCGACGCCTCAGATCTAGTAGCAACGATTCATAAGTAAGTCCAAGCCGTATCAGTAACTTTGCATATGTGTACGCATACATATACATAAAAGTACAGAGTTTCGATTCACGCGTGCGATCGACGTACACACTTCTGCATACCTTGCATACAGAGTTGTAAGGAATAGACTCATGAAAGTGACCAAAATGAAACTCGAAGATGCAGTACGTTTTCTGTAACCATCCTATTCTATAAGCTGGACAAACAAGAACCGTTCCCCTACATGTACCTATCCTAGTACACCCGCGTATGAGCCGTGTTCGCCTCAATACAACTCGTCACCAAAACATCTATCATGCATACGGAAAACTTGCAACGAACTATACTACTTTTCCGCTTGACCCCTGACATTCCGCGGCCTCGGCTTAATTCCACCGTGCCCCAATGCACACTACTTAGCCCCATCACGTGGCCGTATGACGTACGTTTGATAGCCACATGCATATACCCTACTTGCAGGCCTATGTACATAGCTAGTATGTGGCTCCCAGACGAAGACAAGACCTTGGCTGTATGCAATCAACCCGACATACTTGTGTCCTTCTCTTTGGCCTCCAATAGTTCTGTGGGCGTGGTTTTGTTCTCATCGCGCTCCTTGGTCTGGAAGAAGTTGCCGCGCGTCAGCGAGACCTTGACTGTGCACAGGGCCCCTTCGTAAATCTGGTGCGAGAATAGGCAGGTAGCGTGATAAGCGCACATATGACGAAATACGCAGGCGACTTAATATGCATAATTGTATACAAGTACATGCTGAAATAAGCATATGGGTATACATATTTATAAAGAAATAAGCATATGGGTATACAAGTACATGCGGAAATAAGCATATGGGTATACAAGTACATGCGGAAATAAGCATATGGGTATACATGTTTATGAAGAAATAAGCATAAGGATATACAAGTCTAGGAACAAACAAGCATATGGATATACAAGCATATGCAAAATAAGAATATGGATAAACAAGACTATGAAGAAACAAGCGTGTGGATATAAAAGTCTATGACGAAACAAGCATTTGTACACACAAGACTATGCAGAAACAAGCATATCGAAAACACACATCCACATCCACATCCAAATCCAACCCCATATACACTCACCTTCTCCTCTCCCACTGATACAGGAACGGCGTCAATATGCACAAACGGCACATTCTCCACCACCGTGTAGAAGGCCTCGAGCTCCGCATCGGTGAACTCTGTGCGCTTCTTCACAACTTCTTTGTCAGTGGTCAGCACTGTGGCGGTGTCGAACACCCTAGGTTCATCCGCAATCAGCCGCCTGAAACAGTTGGTCTCGACACCTGGTATATTTTAAATTTTGATTTTAAATTTAATAACAGTTGGTCTCGACAACGGGTTAATTTAATAATTAAATTTAAAAATAAAAAAAGTTTGTAAGAATTTAAAATTGCCGGTTGAGGGGAGGACGCGAGATTTAGGGAAGGATTTGTGTATTGTAAAAGTCGTGACAAAACAATCACTTTTGTGACTAATGGAGAAGGCAATCGATCAGGCAGCAGAGTTTGAACCACGATGAGTTTATAATAGAGTATAGCATATAAAGTAGAGTATTTTCGATGGTAAAACAGACTTGAGGGATATGGTATGGATATTGGACTATACCTACTGGTTTATGACTGGTAATTTGACACATGACCGTCTTTCTATATCCGAGTAGGAAAAAACACGCATATATATATATGTATATATATATATATATGTATGTATACAAATATACATATATATATGTGTATGTGTGTGTGTGTGTGTGTGTGTGTGTGTGTGTGTGTGTGTGTGTGTGTGTGTGTGTGTGTTGTGTTCTTACACGTAGTACGTACGTACGTACCACTAACTAATAGTAATACTAATATACGACGAACGTAACTACTACTTCGTACGTAACAACTACTACCTACCTAC